CACACACACACACACACACACACACACACACACACACACATTCAAAAGAAGAAAAAGACATTGGATTTAAATAAAAGACATTTTTTTTAAATGCTCACCATAACCAAGATGGTGACTCTCTGCCCATTGTTGGGTTGTAGTTTTCTGTATTGGTTTCCAACTCCTGTAGCTTCTTTGATGATGGCTGAGTGAGACTCTGATCTATGAGTATGGCACAATGTCCTTAGGAGTCATTTTATTGCTATGTTTCTTTGACAGAAGAATAGTATTTGGTTTCACCCTGGGTCCATGGCCTATCTATTCTCAGGTTCTTGGACATCTGAGCACTATCAGGCATGGGTTTCATCTCAGGGAATGGGCCTTAAATCTAACCAGATAGTTGCACTTTTATGCCACTATTGCACCATGGCATCATACAGGCAGGTCACTGTAGATGGAAGGGTATGTAGCTGGGTTGGTGGCATGCAGAGTATTTCCAATACCGTGAACACTAGTCAGCAAGAAGAAAGGTTCTATGTAAGCACCTGCTTAACTTCTCCATGTTCAATGAGACATAATTGTTGTTGTCTTCAGCAATAGGGCCTTACCATCAGTTCGTGGAGAGCAATCAATAGTCTTATTGGCAGTAGCCAGAAGTGTTGGGGGGTTTCTTTGGGGGTCCCCTTTCTATGTCTATTTGATTTGATTCCTGGCTGAGGTTTTATTTGGTGTCTAGAAATGTCTAGTTGAGGCTTTGTCTCCCCTGTTATTTGGTGATTCTATTTGGATTTCTTTCATGTATGTATACGTTTTAAAAAGCTTCTGTGGTAGTAGGTTTCCATATGATTCCTTTAGTGTCTCTTAGTGTTGTCTGTTTGTCTCTGTATTCCCTCCCTTCCCTCTCTCTTCCTTTCCCCCTCTCCTTGAGTCCTTCTGTTCCTCCTTCCCCCATTCCCTCCTTCCATCCATAATTATAAGTTCATTTCCCCTTCCTTGAGCTATCCTTCTAATTTCTTCTCTGTACCTAACCTCTGTGGTTATAGTAGCTTGCCTATCAAAGGCTTAACAGTAAACGTCTATGTATACGTGAATACATAACATATTTGTCTTTTTCGTCTGAGTTATCTCACGCAGGATGATTTTTTTCTAATCCCATCCATTTATCTATGAATTTCATGATTTCATTTATTCAATGGCTGAGTAATATTCCACTGCATAAATGTACCACCTTGTCTTTACTTATTCATCCCATCTTCCTGAGGGATTGCCACACTGATTTTCCAGTTTGTACTCCTATCAGCAATGAGTTTTCCCTTTTTCTACATTCCTGCCAGAATGAGCTGTCAATTGTTTTATTGATCTTGATTTTTCTGACTGGTATATGATGAAATCTCAAAGTAGTTTTGGTTTGCATTTCCCTAATAACTAAAGATGTTGAACATTTCTTCAAGTGTTTCTCAGCCATTTGTGCTTCATCTTTTGAGAATTCCTTGTTTCTGTACCCCATTGGGTTATTTGTTATCTTGATGTCTGTTTTCTTTTTTTGACCATTTTATATAAATGGAATATTAGCTCTCTGTTGGATGTGGAGTTGGGTAAAATTCTTTCCCTATTCTGTAGGCTGCTGCTTTGTCTGAATGACAGTGTCCTTTTCCTTATAGAAGCTTTTCAGTTCCATGAGGTCTCATTTATTAATTGTTAATCTTAGTGTCTGTGTCTCTGTTCAGAAAGTCTTTTCCTGTGCCAATGAATTCAGGGCTGTTCCCTACTTTCTCTTCTATCAGGTTCAGTGTATCTGGCTGTATATTGAGGTTGTTGATCCATTTGGAGTTGAGTTTTGTGCAGAGTGATTTGGTACAGGTACAGGTTTCTTTATAGTCTTCTACCTGCAGCCTTCAGTTTGATCAGCATCATTTGTTGTAGTACAATTTGAAGTTAGGGATGGTGATACCTCCAGCAGTTCTTTTATTATTCAGGATTGTTTAACTATTGTGTGTGTGTGTTTCCATATGAATCTGATTGTTCTTTCAATTTCTGTGAAGAATTGTGTTGGGATTTTGATGGAGATTGCATTGAACCTGTAGATTGCTTTTGATAGGATGGCCATTTTCACTATATTTATTTTGCTGATCCATGAACATGGGAGATCTTTTCATCTTCTGATACCTTCTTCAATTTCTTTTTCAGTGTCTTAAAGTTTTTATTATACAAATTTTCCACTTGCTTGGTTAGAGTTACCCCAAGATATTTTATTTATTTACTTTTTTTAGGTTACTGTGAAAGGTATTGTTTCCCCAATTTCTTTCTCAGTCTGTCTGTCATTTATATATAGGAAGTGTTTGTCAGCTGTAGGAGTTTCCTGGTAGAATTCTTAGGGTCCTATCCTATCATCTGCAAATAGCAATACATGGAGTTCTTCCTTCCCAATTTGTATCCCCTTGATCTCCTTCAGTTGTCTTACTGCTCTAGCTAGAACTTCAAGTGCTGTATTGAATAGTATGGAGACAGTGGGCAGCCTTGTCTTGTTCCTGATTTTAGTGGAATTGCTTTGAGTTTCCTTCCAGATCTTTTATTATGAAGGGGTCTTAGATTTTGTCAAAGGCCTTTTCTGAATCTGATGAAATGATCATATTTTTTTCATTTCAGTTTCTTTTTTTTTTTTTTTTTCGAGACAGGGTTTCTCTGTGTAGCTTTGGAGCATATCCTGGCACTCGCTCTGAAGACCAGGCTAGCCTCGAACTCACAGAGTTCTGCCTGCCTCTGCCTCCTGAGTGTTGGGATTAAAGGCGTGCACCACCAACGCCCAGCTTAGTTTTTTTTTTTTTTAATATGGTGGATTACATTAATTGATTTTAGTATGTTGAACCATTCTTGCATTTATGGGATGAAACCTATTTGGTTAGGGTGGATGATCTTTTTTATTTGTTCTTAGATTTAGTTTGCTAGAATTTATGGAGACTGGTTGGTTTATAATTTGTTGGGTCTTTATATGGTTTAGGTGTCAGAGTAATTGGACATGGGTGTATGCGTGTGTGTGTGTGTGTGTGTGTGTGTGTGTGTGTGTGTGTGTGTGTATCAGAAGGGGTAATTATCTGAAGTCTTTCTTCTTTCCTTGGCTGCCTATTCTGTTTTCAGTCTAGATGTTTGCACAGTATCTGGGGTTAGTATCAGACTTCACACATTTAAGGCTCAGTACCTTCCAAGCCTCCCTGACTTCTGACATCAGCAGTACTCAGAGAGACCTGGAACACCCACGCTTCTGACTAGCTGGTTGTAAGTTTGGGAGCTTCACTAGAATGACTCAGAACTGAAATAAACAATGGAGAAACTATGCACATGGACATATATCAGTGTTCCTGCCATTTATGCCTGTACGAGGCCAGAGGATGTCAGGAGCCCTGCTCTGTTACTTTCCCCGTGCTGCTTTGAGGTAGGATCTCTCACTGAATCTGGACCTAGCCCCCAGTGATCTTCCTGTCTTTGCAACCCCCACCCTCACCCCCAGTCCTGGGTTTAGGGTCTAGGTGCACTGCCATGCCTAAGGTTTAGAAAATGTGGGTGCTGGGGATTTAGCATCAGGTTTCATATTGTGCAGCCAGCACTCTTACATACTAGGCCACCTCATTTGTGGTGCCTGTGATGGTGCTTAGATGTCTTTAGGAGTAGTCATGAGAAGATAGACTGTGTTTGTTGATTTTTTGAGATAGGGTCTCATCTCACTATGTAGATCAGGCTGGCCTCAAACTTGCAATGGTCTGCAGTGTTGTCTGCTTTGATCCCTCAAGTACTGGGGATTTCTATATATTTTATTTATTTTTGTAGGGGGACACTACAGTGCACATTTAGAGGTCTGAGGACAACTTTTGGGGATCACCTTTCTTCTTCCACCTTGTGGGTGCTGGGGATTGAACTCAGCTTGGTTGCAAGCCCTTTCCCTAATGAGCCATCTTACCACTGGCGTGCTGGAGTCCCATATGCATACCCCCACACCCCTGAAACCCACTTTGCAGCCTGCCGGTTGAGACTTTCATAGTCCCTGTCCCCTAGGAAGAGAGGAGGCAGGTGAAAAGATGGTTTCCAAGGCTGGGCAGTTAGCTTCATCAGCAGGCACGCACAGAGCCCTGAGTTCAATCACCTGAATGCATAAAAAATTTTATTTTGGAAACTTGGGTGTGATGGTGTGCACTTCTGACCCCAGTTCTGGGAAGGAGGAGACAGGAGGAGCCCTGGAATTCACTGGCCAGCTACCACAGGCCTTGCGGCAAGTTCCAGTTTCAGATGAAAGATGAGTTGGAAGGCACCTGATAAATGACACCCAAAGTTGACCTCTGATCTCCACAAAAGTTTGCACACACATGCACACACACACACACACACACACACACACACACACCTGCATACACACATGCATGCACACACACACACATGCATGCACACACACACACACACAGTTCTAGTATATGGTCAATGATTCTACCAAGCATTCCTACAGGATGAGACTCCAGGGAAAACTCTAGGCTGGGGAGATTGCTCAGTAAAGTGCTGACTTTCGTTTGATCCCTAGCACCCCTGGGAAAAGCTGGGCATGGTGGTCTGTGCTTGTGACACCAGCCAGCACTGGAGAGGTGTCGTACCGTCAGGTTGCCCTGTGCAGGAAATGAAGGGCATTTCTTACATTAGGAAAGTCAATTTTTTTTTGTGTGTGTGAATGTGTATGTATATGGGTGTGCCCATGTTGGTGTGTGTATGGCTGTGTGTTTGGCTATGTGTGTTCGGGTCAGAGGACAACTTCAGATATTGTTCTCCGAATCCTACTGCTTTCTTTGAGATGGGGTCCCTTCTGGCCTGTGGCTCACCTATTAGAATGGCAGACCAGTGAGCTCCAGGACTGAACTCAGGTTGGCAGGCTTGGCTGCAAGTACCTTTACCCTTTGAGGCATCTTTTTAGCCAATGCCTGGCATTTTTAATGTGGGTTCTGAGGGTCCAACTCAGGTTCTCATACTTGTGAGGAAAACACTCCATAGACCGAGCCATCTTCCAAACACTGGGCTATGTTTTTCTGGGGACTGGGGAAGATACTTGGCTATTCTAAGCATGTGGGAGGCATTTGACAACATCTGGAAATATTTTTAATTGCGGCAACATGAAGATGAGATGCTGTAGGTATTGAGTATAGCTTGGGAACCCTGGTCTGCATCCTATACTGCCTATGGTTACCTTATTGCCCCTGTGAAGATATACTTGGTTTCAGTTATTCGGAGTGCTGGGTATCAGTGCCTTTTCTGTTGCTGTGATAAAACACCGACCAAAAACAACTTAGGGGAGGAAATCTTTGTTTCAGTTTATATTGTCTGCTCACAGTCTATTTCTGAGGGAAGTCAGGCAGAAACTTGAAACAGAAACCACTGAGCAGTGGTTCTCGACCTTCCAAATGCTTTGACCCTTTAATCCAGTTCTTTGCGTCGTGACCCCCAAGCATAACATTATTTCATTGCTACTTTATAACTGTAATTTTACTACCGTTATGAATTGTAATATAAATACCTATTTGCAGAATATCTGACATGTGATGCCCAAAGGGGTTGCAACTCACAGGTTGAAACTAACTGCTGCAGAGCAATGCTGCTTGTTGGCTCAGTTTCTGGCTCATATACAGTGAGTTTTCTTATACAGCCCAGGTCCACCTGCCTAGGAAGTGGTGCCACCCACAGTGGACTGGACCCTCCCACATCAATCAGTAATCAAGCTAAGTCCCCATAGTGATGGTCATGGGCCTGTCTGACCTAGGCAATCCTTGACTGAGAGTCCCTCAAGATCACTGTAGGCCTTATCATGCTGACAGCTGAAGCTAACTAGGACAAGTGCTGAGCTCAGCAAATCTACCTTAGAGTGATTAAGTCTGCCACTGGGTCCCCGTGAAGCATTCTGTATTCCCAGAGATGGGTGAAGGAGCCCTGCGCACCTGATTGGTCTTGTTCTCTTTCTCTGTTCCGCTCTCAGCTTGATGTGCACCCCATGTCTGGGACCCTGTCCTAAGGTCTGCCAGATCCTGGATGGCGAGAAGACCATTGACTCTGTGACATCTGCCCAGGAGCTCCGAGGCTGCACCGTGATCAATGGCAGCCTCATCATTAACATCCGAGGGGGCAGTGAGTACTCCCAGGAGGGCCCCCACTTCCTGTGTGCTGTGAGCAGAGAAGTGCACAGCCCAGGCTATCCACACATTCCCCTCCCGACTTTCATGGCCATGTTCACTTGAGTCCTGTGGTCTCAGCTACTCAGGAGGCTGAGGCAGGAGGATTGCTTGAATCTAGGAAGTTCAGATCAGCCTGGGTGACATAATCTTATCTAAAGAAAGAAAACAACACAACAAGCAAACAAAGTGGCACATCCTTTATTGGCCCTCTGAGTAGGAGACTCATACCAGGAGGTGCCTCAAAATCTAAAATGAAAAGTTCCTGGCTCCACATTTGCTGAAAATTCTTATTTTCCAATCTGAATCAAGCACCTGTATTCTTTTTATTTTTTATTTTTTTGTGTATGAGTGTTATATATATATATGTATATATATCGTGTGTGTATGGTGTCCACAAAAGCCCGAAGTGGGCACTGCAGTTATAGGTGATTGTGAGTTGCCATGTGGGTGCTGGGTACTTAACCCAGGTCCTCTGCAGGAGCAGAATTCTCTTGATTACTGCTGGACCATCTCTACAGCCTCAGGAATCTGTATGCTTCCGGATGTGCACAGAGTCTGCTGGTCCACACTTGTTAACGCAGCACTCAGGAGATGAAAGTAGGAGAGGTTCTAGTTCATACTCAGTTACAGTGTGAGTTTGAAGTCAGCCTAGGCTGCATGCGATCCCATGTCAAAGAAATGAAGAAGCCTCCAAACTAGAATGGGTAGGTCTCCAGATGGACTGCTTTCCTAGCATTCATGGGTTCAGTCCTCAGTGCTATGCCCTACACTGGTGCAGCAAAGTGGAGGCCACAAACATCAGAAGTTCAAGAATATCTTTAGCTAGATAGTAGATTTGAGGCCAACTTGGGCTACATGATCCTTTGTTTCAAAAATAAAAATAAATAAAATAAAAGCAAGTGTGTTGTAGAATTTGCTTCAAACTTACTATGTAGCCTTAGGTGTGGAAAGTCACCACATCCTGTCACCACATCCTGAGTGCTGAGATAGCAGGAGGGCAGGAACACACACACACACACACACACACACACACACACACACACACACCCTCACACAGCAGGAGGGCACGAACACACACACAACAGGGCAGGAACACACAGACAGACAGACAGACAGACAGACAGACAGACACACACACACACACACACACACACACACACTCAGACACACACAGACACACTGATACATACACATACACACAGGCTGGGTAAAATATTCTGCAAACACTCATGGGTGTTTCCTGTTTTTTTGTAGACAACCTGGCAGCTGAGCTGGAGGCTAACCTTGGCCTCATTGAAGAAATTTCAGGGTTCCTAAAAATCCGGCGTTCCTATGCTCTGGTATCTCTTTCTTTCTTCCGGAAGCTCCATCTGATTCGAGGAGAGACCTTGGAAATCGGGTATGTGAGCCTGGCTGTCTGCGGCTGCCCACCAAGAAACTCATGGATGAAGCAACAGAGGGATGGGGAGGTGGCTCACTGGGTAAACTACTGACTTTGCAATGTTAAGACCTCAGTTTGATGACAAGTTTAAAAAGGGGGGCGGCTACTAGTGTTGGGGAGAAAAGACAGGTGGATCCCTAGGGCTCCCTGGCCAGCCAGTCCTCACCTACTTGCCAGGTTGGTGGCCAGTGAGAGAAAATCAGGGTGGGCGAGGTGTAAGGGATAGGCAGCCAGATTTTCTCTGTCCTCCACACTCATGAGCACATACATGCACACGCACCCTTGCATGTGTGAGTGCGTACATGTGCGTGCGAGTGTGAGTGTGCACACACAGACACAGACACACACAGACACACACAGACACACAGAACCACGCACAGACTCTCTCTCTCTCTCTTGCTCTCTCTCTCTCTCTCTCTCTCTCTCTCTCTCCCCCTCTCTCTCCCTCTCCCTCTCCCTCTCTCTCTCCCTTTCCCTCTCCTTAGGACTTTTCCTTTTAAAAACTCCGCTGAACCAAAGTGAAGTGTCAGTTAGATGACAGGACACTCTTGAATGTCCATCCAGCCAAGAGACAGAAAGTCCACTTTATAGTCTTCCCAGGGAAGCCAGAGGGTGCTGGCTGGGGTTTGCTAACGGTGTGTGCATCTGTCACAGCTACACAGAGAATGGAGTGTGATAAATACCTGGTCACGGCCATGTTTGGAAACTGCTTGGCTCTGTCAATACAAAACTCCTCCTCTCACCTGAAAGGGATAAGAGATAGTTTATTCTGGAGCCAATTATGAGTAGCATGGCCCAGGAACACAGATAAAGGTTATCCCAAATTACATACTCCAATGTGGTAACAGTCTCATGAAGTTTTTATATTAATAGAATAGAAAGTCACAAACCAAGTCACTTTTAAACAATGTTGGTAGAAACATCGTTAGAGGTGACTAACAGCAAACCAGAGAAATCTCTGCTATAGGTCTCAGATGTCATCTGATGACATTCTTAGCCTTTTAGTTGATGGAAACTAATGGTCTGCTATGTTAGTACATTCCAAAAGGCTTACATGCTAGCCACAAGGCTATTTGGGCTTTTAAGACACAGAGTGCTCTTAAGGGGGGTTAAAGACAGACCAGGATAAATTGTAATTAGGCTTTGGATCTGCAACACTCCAAGCTTTCCACAGTCATTGAAGCATTGTTCAAGGTTCCACATAAGGTGTCGTGTCCATGGTGTCGCTGCCCCCACGCCCAAGAACCTTTGTTCACCAACCTGTTAGTGGAGACCACACCTGCTCTTTGTTGAGATGCTTATCTTTCCAGGCTCCTGGAATTCCATCTCCTCAAGGCATCCTCCTAGCCACCCCCAGGTGTCCTTTCTCATTTTCTTCTGTCTTCATTTCTTTTCTGAGCTGGCAGTGTGGGCTCCCAGCCATGGCCTGTGTCTTGGGATCTTGCCCTGCATAAGCTGAAATATTCAGCCCTGATTCTCTCCTCACTCCCCACCCAAGCATGTCTCTGTAGCTTGCCTCAGGTGGCCTCTGGGAACCTCAGATATAGCAAGTGGCCTTCTGCAGAACCCCAGTTATCCATCCTGGTTTCGGGGACTCTCCTTTGCTCTGTTCTCCTCCAGGTCCCACAGACCCTGCTTATGTTGCTCAAGTAAGCAGGAGTCTGGCGTGTGGCGTTTTGAGAAGTAGAGATAGACTCCTGAGCAAGAGGAGCACTGAGACATGCAATGGAGGAGTTAGATTCTCTGTTTCTCACAGGCACAAGACCGGTTGCTTGTCCCCAGTTTCATAGCTGTCAAACCAGCAGCAAACAGGGAAAGGGGCAAAAGGAATGCCATTCCACACTGTGCCTTAAAGCAGAGCCGCACAACTGGGCACTTGGGAGCAGGCGAGTCTCAAGGCCAGCCTGGCCTGGTTGATGCTATGATTGCTAAGGCCATCTAGGGCTGCAGAGTGAGACCCTGTCTCAAGACCATTAAAACAAACAAACAAACAAACAAAAAAACCAAACAAATGAACAAGCAGGAGCACAACACAAAACCAAACCAAACATGATTGAAACCTTCCATACTTTTTGTCCCCAAACTTGATTTCTGGTTTTATTTTTATTGCTAGACCTGGGTCACAATTTCACCCTCTCCAAAACCCAGTCTGACCCATACCCCTGCTTGCCTTCCACCTCTTCCTCCTCCTCCTCCATTTTTACCTCCTCTTCCTTCTCCAGCTCCTTTTCTTCTCCCTCTTATTTAGCCATATTGGGGATTGAATATAGTGCTGGTGTATGCTAAGCAAGCACTCTACCACTGATCCATGCCTTCAGCCCTTCACTGGGGAATTCTAGGCAGAGGCTCTACTGCTGAGCCACACCCCCAACCCCTCACAGGGGGATTCTAGGAGAGTGCACTACACTTACCTGGCAATGAAAATTTGTCAACCTCCTTGTTCTCCATAGTCCCAAAGATAATTTTTGAGTCTATGCCAATCAAGTGGCTAGGACTGGGCCTGTAGCACTGAAGGGGTCAACTCCAGGCATGGCCCTGACTATCTAGTTTTTAAATTTTTTATTTAAATATGATATGTAAATTAATTTTTGAGAATTTCTTACATACAATATATTTTGATCATAATCAGCCCCTACACCTCCCTCTTACTTCTCATAGATCCATCCCACCTTTGCTCCCTTTCAAGTTCATTTCTTCTTTTTAAAAACAAAATTACAACCCACTGAGTGTACTTTGTGGCCCCTGTCATCTTGGCATTGAAGAAGATGGGTTGTGGAGTGATTAACTGTGTGTTTGTAGGAACTACTCTTTCTACGCCTTGGACAACCAGAACCTCAGGCAGCTCTGGGACTGGAGCAAACACAACCTCACCATCACTCAGGGCAAGCTCTTCTTCCACTACAACCCCAAACTCTGCTTGTCAGAAATTCACAAGATGGAAGAAGTTTCTGGAACTAAGGGCCGCCAGGAGAGGAACGACATTGCCCTGAAGACCAATGGCGACCAGGCATCCTGTAAGTCTCTTTCTCCTTATGTCCCCAGTGGCTGCCCTCTTTCAGCTACTACCCTAGCCCCCAGGGAAGTGCCATTGTCCTTTGTTGGACTACAGCTTTCTGTGAGAGGAGTTTTAAAATACCAAAGGCAGGTGTATATGTGTGTGTGTGCATATGTATACATATGCACCCTCTGTTTTAATTTTCAATGTCACAAAATCTAGAATCACCTGGAAAGATGATCTTAATCGAGGAATTGTCCAGATGAGGTTGGCCTGTAGGCATTTCTATGGAGCGTTTTCTTGGCTGATGATCATTTTGGTGGTTTCTCTCTGGTCCTGAGCTCACCAAGTAGGCTTTGCTGGCTTGGAGTTTGTTTTGACTGTTAATTGAAGTGTGAAGAGCTATTTCATGGACTGGTTCGGGAAAAGCATGAGAGTGGAGAAAGCTAGCTAAGTATAAGCAGCAGGCAGGCATCGCCTATGCATTTGCCTCCCTATGCTATTGACTGTGGTGATGAGATATAACTAACGCCTTGAGTTCCTGCCCAATTTCCCTGAAATGATAGGCTCTGTCCTCATGAGCAACCAAACAACTCTTCCTCCCTTAAGTTGCTTTTTGGCAAGTATTTTATCACAGCAACAAAATGAAACTAGGACTCCCTCTGTCCCTCAGTCTACCCCCTCCCAAGAACAACAAATGCTCTGAAACAAACTATTCAGTATTCCCAATTGACTGACTTTTTTCCCCTCTTTCTAGGTGAAAATGAGTTACTTAAATTTTCTTTCATTCGGACATCTTTTGACAAGATCTTGCTGAGGTGGGAGCCCTACTGGCCCCCTGATTTCCGAGACCTCCTGGGATTCATGCTCTTCTACAAAGAGGCGTAAGTAAAACGAGGTGGACTATTGGTCATGCTCCGTGTGCAGGGACAAAGCATGAGCAACCTGCCAGTGCCCATGTTCCCAAAGGGGAGTGACTTAGACTCCCTTAGCAGCTACTCCTCTGCCAGGAGAGGACCTTGGAGCCCTCCACCATCCATGCCAGAATGTTGACTGGCTTGATCTGATGCAGGCAACCATAGCTGGTCTGAGTTGATGTGTGTAGCGGCCATGCCATGTTGCTATGTCTAGAAGTCAGCATTTCACAGCTCTTCTCCTCATCATCCTTTTCATTGTGACTAGAGATACACCTGTCTCCATCTTCTAGTGCTTACAAAGGCCGAGCACCACACCTGACCTTTGCATGAGTGCTGGGAACTAAACTCTGGTCCTCATGTTCTCATGTTTGTACAGCAGATGCTTTGCCTACTGAGCCTTCTCCCCAGGCCCAGTGGAAGTATGTTGATAACTCATATTGAGAATATAGTATATATACAATGTTGGGGTGAGAAGAAAAAAAAAACAAAACAAAATGCATTGATTACACTTATGCCACCAAAAGCCACATGCCCTGGCTTTGCTGCAGTTTTAGTCCTTTACCTTGTGGCTGTGTGGGCTGAGACCTGGCGAAGGTGACTACATGGACTTTTCACAACTCATTGCTGCTAACTTTGGAGAAGACCCAACTTTAGAATTGGAAATATGAAAAGGTTCACTTCTGGGGGTTGGAGAGGAGGCTCAGCAGTTACGGGTGGTCACTGCTTTTCCACAGGACCCAAATTTGGTCTCCAGCATCCCAGTCTGGCATTTCACAACCACTAGCTTCAGGGGATCCAGTATTCTCCTCTAGCCCTTGAAGGCACATGTGTACAAGTACACACACTCAGATACACATTCAGACTTTCAGAAAGCCATGAGTTGTGGATGCCAGCTCTGAGGAAGCAGAGATGGGCAGATCTTTGGGGTCTCTGGCTAGCTAGCCTAGCCTACAAGGTGAATTTCAGGCCACATAAGATTACTCTGTCTCAAAACACAAGGTGGGAATCAAGGGTGAATGTCATTAACACCAACACTAAGGAGACAAGAGACTGGCAGACTTCTGTGAGTTTGAGGCCAGCCAGGACTAGAGTCTGTTTCACGAACAGAAAAAACAAGGTAGATGGTCCTCTAGGTCTATGCAGCTACACTCAAGTGAATCACCACAAACTCATACACGTACACACACACACACACAAACACACACACACACACACACACACACACACACACACACACAAACCAGAAAAGAAGTGAGTCTACATCTGTAAATCTCCAAGGTCCCCACTCCACTGAGTCCTGAGATTGACATTCACCCAGTGGTAACCTACCTCTCCCTCTCATTTCTCTAAAGCCCGTATCAGAATGTGACAGAGTTTGATGGGCAGGATGCTTGTGGCTCCAACAGCTGGACCGTGGTAGATATTGACCCACCCCAAAGGTCCAACGACCCCAAGTCTCAGACCCCAAGCCACCCTGGGTGGCTAATGCGGGGTCTCAAGCCCTGGACTCAATATGCCATCTTTGTCAAGACCTTGGTTACCTTCTCTGATGAACGCCGGACCTACGGAGCCAAAAGTGACATCATCTATGTGCAGACAGATGCCACTAGTAAGTGTATCCTGTGAATATGGATTTGATGTTGAACTGACTCTCTTGCCTTTGGTAGGCAGCTTAGTGATGTCCTGTGACAGGCTTTTTCCTGTGGTTGATGAAGGGCTGAGGCTTATGTTTTCAGAGGATGACATGGTAGCCTTATAGCTCAAGAGTTCACTCTTGGGTTGGGAAGATGGCCTAGTGGGCAAGATTGATGCTGTTCCCATCACCCACATTGAAAGCTGGGTGTGGCCATACTCATACCTCACAGTGTTGGGTCTCAAGACTTGGGCCATGTGCATGTCTGTAACCCCAGAGCACTGTGGCTCAGGGGGAGGCCATGTGCACATCTGTAAGTCTATAACCACAGAGCACTGTGGCTCAGGGTCAGGGACAAGGATCACTAGGATTTGGTGGCCGCCAGCCTAGCTTTAGTTTGAGTGAAAGATCCTGTTTCAGAAGAATAAGGTAGACTCTGATAGAATGGGATGCCTGACTTTCTCCTCTGGCCTCTGCACATGCATAGACACTACACATCGAATACACACATGTACACATATAACACATACTTCATATATAACACATACCACATTTAATACAATACTGTATGTATTAACACACACTCATGTTCACATGCACACCCATCCACCACATGCAACATGCACACATACCACATATAACATACACATTACATGTGACAAAGATGAACACACACCACATACAATGCAACATATACTACATATAACATAGACATCACATGTAATAAACATGCATGTGCATACCCACCATATATAACATGTTCACATACCACATATAATATAACATGCACACATACATGTACAATACCCCACACATGTACACACATCACACATATGCATGTATACATATGACATATGCCACATACATGCATACACACACACACACACACACACACACACACACACACACACACATATATATGCACACACATGTACCACACACATGCAAACACACCATACACATGTAACACATATGTTCTTGAACTCAGAGCAGCTATGATTACTTACACAAGACTCTCTTCAACATCTGTCATGGAGAGGGAAGAGGCTGATCATGGTGACACACACCTTTAATCTTTTCCTTGGGAGTGTAAGCCCAGCCTGGTTTAAGTAGTGTCTTCTAGGCCATCCATTGTGCTGATATCTTGCTTGTACAAATAAAGCTTGTCTGAAGATCAGAGGGTGGAGCTTGCCACTAGCTAATCACAGAAGTCTGGAGGTCTGTACAGACAGTCAAGAAGTGAGATGGCTGGATGGAGAGAGGATATAGGTGGGAGGAAACAGGAACTTGCTTTCTTTTCTGCTGGGAAGCTAGGAGGTAAAGGTGGCTTTGGTTTGCTCCTTCTTCTCTCTGATCTCTCAGCATTTTCCTCTATATCTGACTCTGGGTTTTTATTCTCTAGACCAATTAGAACTCAATTTACATTTTGGAATCCAATGTGGGGCGTCAACCCACCACCTTGAGATTAAGAGTCTCATGCTCTATATAATTCAGGGCTATCCAGTGAGACTTGTCTTTTAAGAAGTTAATTCAATCAGTAAATAATTAGTTAATTAAAAGTGATAGCTAGGCCTGGTTATACACACCTGTAATCTTATCACTTAGGATACTGAGGCAAGAGAATTGCTGTATGTTTGAGTCCTGCCTGGGCTACATATTAAGATCTTACAACCTCAAAACAGCAACAAAGTATAGTGAAATGTTTAGGGGATAGAGGCAGGTAGATCTGGAGTTCAGAATCATCTCTATCTACATTTTAAGTTTGAAGCCAACCTGGACTGTGTGAGATCCAGTCTCAAAAACACAAACAATAGACAAATGACAAACTCACAGAAAATAACAACAAAAAGAAACTTCTGTCACTGTATATTACTTTAGTTGTTTGGTTTTATTATTGCTGTTGTTATCTTCTGTTAGTTATTGATTAAGTTTTATCATAGGTATGTATGTATGGGGAAACACTAAAGGCTCAGTGCTTTGTGTGGTTTCAGATATCTGCTGCACCACATAGATAAGGGGGGCATGCTGCATGTTTTCCTATCCTGCCATGAAAACTTCTCACATATAGAAAGGTGCCTGCCTGTGTGCATCTTCTAGCTTTTGCATGGTGTAGTGTTTTAGTGTCACTCTTGTCTCCCTCCTTTGCTTTTCTTTCTTTTTTTCTTTTTGGCTGTAGTGTCTCATAGCAACTCATTTTTCTGTCAAGGTTAACCCTTCTTACACACGGGGTGGGCCAGGCCCTATCCCAAAGGATATGATAGACTCTGATGACACCCTATGGAAGGCCTCACCCTCCAGGGGGAGAAGAAATGATATGTGATAGGTAGGGTTTTAGGGGCATAGGGGAGGAGGAGAGGGAGAGGGAACTGGGATTGACATATAAAACAATCTTGTTTCTAAATAAAAAAAACAACATCTGCAAAAAAAAAAAGATTAACCCTTCTTCTTAGCTTACTAGTTTTCAAATAGGGATAATTCTGTCCCTCCCAAGGAAGGGAGGATGCTTGGCAATATCTAGAGACATTTTTACTGGTCACAGCTGGGAAGTGGAATGGTTGATGAAGAGTTGTCTGCCCCAAATGTCAACATGGAGAGAGTAAGCAACCCCTCACAAGAACACGGTCCATCGTTCTGGCTATTCACCATCTTGGCTTTCATCTTGTGTCTAGACCAATTTTAGTTTCCAGAAGCTTCTACCTTTCTGGCCTTTGCACATTTTTTTGTTTTTGTTTTTGCCTTGATACTTCCATGTTCTGCCCCTTCAACTCTCTCAGCCTTCAGCACTCTGTGTGCATGCATGTGTGTGTGTGTGTGTGTGTGTGTGTGTGTGTGTTTGTGTGTCTGTGTTTGTATTTGTATTTGTACTTGCATGTGTGTATCATATTTGAATGTGGCATATGCCAGAAGTTGACACTGGAGTCTTCCTCAGTTGTTTTCTCCCTTATATATTGTGGCAGGGTCTCTCAATAAACACAGAGGTTGCTGATCCTCTGTTTCTAGCTGCTACAGCCATTGCTGCCTGGCATTTATGTGGGTACTGGGGATCTGAACTTTCCTTATGCTTCTGTGATGAGTGCTTTACCCATTGAGCCATCTCCCTAGCCTCAGGTACCACTGTTCTTCAGAAGGAGAGTTTAGGGTGTATTTTGAAGGATGTTGCATGACAGTTAAAGAACATTGTCTGGGGCAAGGTATGTGGCTTGGTTGGTCGAGTGCTTGCCTAACTTGTATGAAGCCCTAGGTAAAATTCCTGAACCTCATAAACCAGGTATGTGGTGCACGTCTCTCATCCCAGCATGCAGGAGGAAGGGAGGAGGATCAGGAGTTCAAACACATTTTTGGTTATGTTATTAAGTTTGAGGCTAGCAAGCACTGGGCCAAGCTTCTGGAGAGGAAGGAGGGATTATACGAGCAATGCGGTGTTGTCTCCCTCCACATACACAGTGTGTGTGTGTGTGTGTGTGTGTGTGTGTGTGTGTGTGTGTGTGTGTTTGTGTGAAGATCATGACCAGGAAATCTAGAGACAGCTGACCCAAGCTCGTGGAAGCTCACAGACTCTAGAAAGACAGCTGGAGAGCTTGCATGGGACTGAACTAGGCCCTCTGCATGTGGATGACAGTTGTGTGGCTTGATCTGTTTGTGGGGCCCCTGGCAGTGGGATCAGATCCATCCCTGGTGCATGAGCTGGCCTTTTAGAGCCCATTCCCTATGGTGGGCTGCCTTGCTTGGCTTTGGTCCTGCCTCAATTGATGTGCCAGGCTTTGTTGACTCCCTGTGGGAGGTCTTACCTTTTTCTGAGGAGTGAATGGGGGGGTGGGGGTGAGCAGGAGGTGGGGAAGGAGGGGGAACTGTGGTTGGTATGTAAAATGAATTAAAAAAAGTTTGAGGCTAGCCTGGGCTACATGAGAACTTGTCTCAGAAACAGACACAGTTCAATGGTTTCAAGTGCATCCAGTGACTGGGTTTGATTTCATGCCCATGTAAACCAACATTCTTCTCTTGCATCAATTCTCTTTTGGCCCCAGGAACATCTTTCTGGTGTCCACAGCAGCGAGAGCTTTGGCATCTCTGTCAGAGCCAAAGTCTGGGGAGTAAATGACACTCGGTGGGCACATAATCCATAGAATGACTGGACGGTCATTTCTGCCCGGCTGGGCAAGCATTTAACTGTGCCTACTTTTCTCTGATGTTAAATAACTCTAGCAAACATAGCTATGGTTTCAGTTGGGCCATCTCCCTGCTTAGGTAAACCAACAACTTATATATTCTCCCTCATGGTAACTTGTTTCTTTTCTCCTTTACAGACCCTTCTGTCCCCTTGGACCCCATATCAGTTTCTAATTCCTCATCTCAGATTATTTTAAAGTGGAAGCCCCCCTCCGACCCCAATGGCAACATCACACACTACCTGGTCTACTGGGAGAGGCAGGCGGAGGACAGCGAGCTGTTTGAGTTGGATTATTGTCTCAAAGGTGAGCACAGGCAACTGTCATGGGGTGGGCTGTACCTCGATTCTCTTATGGGGACATGGGTCTCTTTTCCTTTTTCCCAGGGTGCCTGCACATGTATATCCACATGCACACATGCACACACACACACACACACACACACACACACACACACACACACACACACACATTCATATTCCATTCTGTCTCACATAAGGCACACTTTTTTTTTTTTTTTGTGTGTGTGTGTGTGTAAATGTGTATTCAGGTTTGTGTGTGTATGTGTAGAGGTCAGAGAACAACTTTGGTGTATGTCCAAGAATGTTGTATACCTTGCTTTCAAATTTTTTTTTTGCTTGGTTTTTGAGACAGGGTCTCACAAAGACTATGGTGAACTTAAACTCACTATTTAGCTGAGGAACACACTGGGTTTCTTGTTCCTCCTGTCTCTACCTCCTAAGTGTTGGGGCTACAGGACTATACCACCATGCCAAGTTTATGCTGGGCCAGAGATTCAAAGCCAGGGCTTTATGGGTGCTAACACTGCAGCAACAGAGCCACATCCCCATCCCATGTTTTCTTTGAGTTAGAAATAATTTTATTCCATTTATTTACCTAGTTTCTGTGTGTGAGGGCACACATGCAACATGGCATGTGTGTGGAGGTCAGAGGACAGCCAAGAGGAATCTGTGGTCTTGTCAGCCATGTGGGAACCAGGGATCACACTCAAATTGTCAGGCATGGGGACAAGCCCCTTTACCTAGTTGTCAGGCATGGGGACAAACCCCTTTACCTAGTGAGTCATCTTTTTACCCCTCTGTTTCTAAGATTTCAGTGCTGTGCCTGGAACCCAGGGCCTCATGCATGCTACGCAAGTGTTCTACCACTGAGCTGTAGCCTAGCCCTCACCTCGTGGACTTTTATGTTATTTTTATTTGAGGGTATTTCACTAGCCTGGGTAAGCAGGCTAATCTGGCTAATGAGTGACCCTCAAGAATCTGCCTTTCTTCATCTCCCCAGCGCTGGGATTACAAATGTACCCCACCACAACCAGCTTTTTACATGGGTTCTGGGGATCAAACTCAGGCCTCTGTCTGAGCCATCTCCCTGGTGCACACACACACATCTTCAGACATCACACATGGATCCACACACACCATCTCCCTAGCACACACACACACATTTTAGACATTACACACAGGCCCACACTCACTCCCTAGTGTGAACACACATTTTTAGACATTGTGCATGGATTCACATGTTGTCAGCTGCTGAAAATCCTAAACAGTGCTGTATGATGAGCACTTTCCCATAGTGTCCAAAGCCCTGGGTTCAGTTTCCAGGACTACAAAACAAACAGGGACTGGATATAGCGGTGAAACACATTCAGTGCTTCATTCAGCCACGATCCACACAGTGCATTGGGTCTATATAAAATATGTAAGCAGCAAATCTGAGTGGTGAGTGTCTTCACCATTTCCTTGTGATAGAAACATTCAATATCTTTTTAGCACCAGTTGTAGAGGCTGAGGTGTATGTGTGTGTGCTCACAAGCACAGTAGACAGGGTTTATGAAGTAGCAGCTGTAGTAACTGTCCTGGAGTTGCCTTGCATGGTCACTGTATTGTATATTTCAAAATAGCTAAAAGTGGGTTATCAAAAAGAAACCTAGGGAGGCAGCAAGATGGCTCAGTGGATAGAGGTGCCTGCTGCCAAGTCTGATGCCCCGAGTCTGATCCCTAGGACCTGCATAGTGCAAAGAGAGAACTAACTGCCAAGAGTTATCATCTGACCCTACTGGCTACACACACACACAAACCAACAACAACACACCAACAACCACACCCA